ATCTGTGATGGCATCTGTTCCCTAGTGGACAATAACCCTCGTGGCTATCAATATAATAGACTGTCATTTGACCATTAAAAACGAAGACTCTGATCTATATTTATTGACATTGAAAGATGTCTGTCATGTTTATTAAGTGAAAAAGACAAAAAGCTGACAAAACTCCACAAGGTGGTTCCATTTGTGTAAAATAAACCTGGCACTGGGCAAAGCAGAGGCACAAATGTGAAAAGAGATTGCCCACAATGTCAACAGGATTATGTATGATTTTTATTTCTTTTTCCTACCTTTGGGTATAGGCTACATTTTTACTCAGAAGACAAAAATTCCTTTTTATTTTTTTAAATTTTTTAAAGATTATTTATTTATTTATTTGTGAGAGAGAGAGAGTGAGAGAGGGAACACAAGCAGGGGGAGTGGCAGGCAGAGGGAGAAGCAGACCCCCCGCTGAGCAGGGAGCCCGATGTGGGACTCAATCCCGGGACTCCAGGATCATGACCTGAGCTGAAGGCAGACGCTTAACCAACTGAGCCACCCCGGTGTCCCAACACAAATTCCTTAAAAATACCTTTATTACCCCTTTTTTTCCTAATTACAAAAGTTATCTGTGCTTATTACCATAGCTGACACATTAAAGGAGTATGTCATCAAGAACATCAGCATTCTCGGAGCACCTGGGTGGCTCAGTCTGTTGGGCGTCCAACTCTTGATTTTGGCTCAGATCATGATATCAGGGTCATGGGATTGGGCTCCCGCCTTGGCAGGTAGCCTGCTTGGGATTCCGCCCCCCCCCCCCCCCTCTCTGTCTCTCAAAAAAAAAAATCTTTTTTTTTTTTTTTTTTAAAGAATATGCGTAGGGCGCCTGGGTGGCTCAGTTGGTTAAGCGACTGCCTTTGGCTCAGGTCATGATCCTGGAGTCCCTGGATCGAGTCCCGCATCGGGCTCCCTGCTCAGCGGGGAGTCTGCTTCTCCCTCTGACCCTCCCCCCTCTCCTGTGCTCTCTCTCTCTCATTCTCTCTGTCTCAAATAAATAAATAAAATCTTAAAAAAAAATAAAAATAAAAGAATATGCGCATTCTCATAATTTTGCTGACACTGGTAATGCAGCTTCCAGACTTTTCCATGCATCTTTTAACACAGAGATAGGAGTTGTGTTCTTTGAAGATTTTTAACTTTGTATTACAGAAAATGCAAGCACATACAAAAGTAGGGAGACTAGTATAACAAACCCTGGTGTGCCCACCAGGTATCAACAGTTACCTACTTTCTGCCAATCTGCTTTCATTTTATCCCCTGCACTTTTTTTCTAGAGTCTTTTTTTTTTTTTTAAGATTTATTTATTTATTTATTTGACAGAGACAGAGAGAGAGCACAAGTAGGCAGAGAGGCAGGCAGAGGGAGAGGGAGAAGCAGGCTTCCCGGAGAAGCAGGCTTCCCGCGGAGCAGGGAGCCCGATGCGGGGCTCGATCCCAGGACCCTGGGATCATTGGCCTGAGCCGAAGGCAGACGCTTAACGACTGAGCCACCCATGCGCCCTTTTTCTGGAGTCTTTTGTGTCATTTTACCCCTAACTACATCACTGCTTCACTATTTGTCTCTAACTGATAAAGCCTATTTTTTAACATAATTACTTTGCCATGACTGCACGTTACAAAAGTATCGATCATTAGATTAAAATTTTTATGGTTTTATTTTTATTTTTTTAAAAGATTTTATTAGAGAGAAAGAGAGCATGTGCATGAATGGGGGGAGGGGCAGAGGGAGAGAAGCAGACTCCCCTCTGATTGCAGAGCCTGCCTTGGGCCTCGATCCCAGGACCCTGAGATCATGACCTGAGCCAAAGTCTGATGCTTAACCAACTGAGCCACCCGGGGGCCCCATTTTTATTTTTTTCAGATTAAAATGGTTATACATATCTATGTTATTAAATATAGGTACATTTATTATTATTATTATTATTATTATTATTATTATTTTAGAGAGAGAGAATCTTAAGCAGGTGCGGAGCCTGATGCAGGGCTCAATCTCACCACCCTGAGATCATGACCTGAGCCCAAATCAAAAAGTCGGATGCTTAACCAACTCAGCCACCCAGGTGCCCCTGGATTATTATTATTTTAAAAAGAGGACCATGTAATAGACTATAGTTTGGCCTCTCAATCTCTTATGACTGTGATGTTTTGCAACTTTCTTTTTTTCACCTGCTGATTTAGCTTGGATGTCTTTCTACGGCAACAGAGCTCGATCAGTGTTCATGTCTCCCATCATCCTACAACAAATCAAAAAGCTACTTCCTCTTTTGGCTTAAAAGCAAAAAAGAGGGGCGCCTGGGTGGCTCAGTGGTTAAGCGTCTGCCTTCAGCTCAGGTCATGATCCCGGGGTCCTGAGATCAAGCCCCGCGTCGGGCTCCCTGCTCACAGGGAAGCCTGCTTCTCCCTCTCCCACTCCCCCTGCTTGTGTTCCTGCTCTCGCTGTGTCTCTCTGTCAAATAAATAAATAAAATCTTTAAAAAAAAGAAAAGCAAAAAAGAGCAGTTTAGTAAAAACAAGTAAACAAATATAGTTCTGGGAGGTGCACGTCTTCCCTGTCTAGGGAGAATCTCCCTTCACTGGATTAGTGTGTAGATGGGGGATACGATGCTCATTCTTTCTTTTATTTACTTGAATAAATATCATTTTTGAGTGCTTTCTGTGTGCCAGCCACTGGTCCAGGTGCTGGGAATATGGCCCTTGTGGAGCTAACTTTCTAATGGTCAGAGAAGGCCTCACTGAGGAGGTGAAATTTGAGCAGAGACCTGAAGGCGGGAGCCATGTGGATATCTGGAGAGAGTGTTGCAGACAGAGAGGAAACACATGCAAAGGCCCTGAGGTAGGACTTCACTGCCTCCCCAACCCCTTGGTGTGTCCTTCAGTGAGTGGCAGCACCCGGAACATCACCCTGCCCGACCTTCCCTGGGGTCCTTGTGAGCTGTGGGTGACCGCATCCACCATCGCGGGACAGGGGCCACCTGGTCCCATGCTCCGGCTTCACCTACCAGGTAGTGGGGTGGGGTGGGACTGCCATAGGAGGGGACCTGCTCAATTTCAAGGAGATAGGGGTTCCAGTGAATGAGCAACCTTTTGACGTGGGGGTGGTTACTGATGACACCTCAGGGGCATTCTGATCCTTCTAAGTACTCTGGATTATCAGGCAGTGTGTGTCTGTGACCCTTTCACCCCTCCCTGACCTTGACCTATCCCTGATGACTGTTTTATTCACAAGCCCCACTCCCACTCCAAAATCTCCCTGCACTTAGCCCCTACCCACTCATAAGCATCCCCCCTTTACCTGCCTCCTTCACCCAAAGCCTGCCCCATGCATGATCCTTTCCTGATCCCTCCCCCATCCCTCCCCCATCCCTGGTATCCAAATATTCTTCTGCCCCTTGGCCTCAGATAACACCCTGAAGTGGAAAGTTCTGCCGGGTGTCTTTCTGCTGTGGGGCTTGCTCCTGACGGGCTGTGGTGTGAGCCTGGCCACCTCTGGAAGGTGAGGCTGTCGGACATGCGGGTCTCTTCCCCGGGTGGGGAGGGCAGCTGGACACTAGCTCAGCTTTGGTGTGGGGGGGGGGCAAGAAGTGAGGGGACGCCTCAAGGCTCCGTGACGTTCCTGGGCTCTGCAAACTCGGCCTGGGTATCAGGTCACCTAGGTTCTCTGCCTTCTTACCTGCTGGCCAGGTGCCTCCACCTTCGGCACAAGGTACTGCCCCGCTGGGTCTGGGAGAAGGTTCCAGATCCGGCCAACAGCAGTTGTGGCCGGCCCCACATGGAGGTGAGCAAAAGGCTGGCTTGTCCAGGCCCCCTGGGAGGTTGGCAAATGTGGGGACAGCGGGTAGTGGGTGGCAGCAGGTCAGGGAGAATGGGGGGGCAGAATCCCCATCTCTTCTCTTCCCAGGAGGTGCCACAGGCTCAGCCCCCCAGGGACTTCCCCATCCTGAAAGTGGAGGAGATGGAGCCACTACCGGTTCCGGAGCCCCCCCAGGCCCCCCCGCAGCTGGACTCTGGCTATGAGAAACACTTCCTGCCCACCCCCGAGGAGCTGGGCCTTCTGGGCCCGCCCCGAGGTCCTGAGTTCTGGCCTGAACCCAGCCCAGGCCAGGAGAGGGGTGCCCATTTGACAGATGAAGACACTGAGGCTCAGAGAGCCTAAGTCCCTTGCCTGAGGACACCCAGCCAGGAAGAAGAGGTTGAAGGACCCCCTACAAAGGAGGGCCTGGCCCTCCCGGAAATATATGGATGGAGGAGGGAGCAAAGGACCATGTACGAATGCAAGCAGCAGCTCCGTCCCCCGATCTGTCCCGCGGCTAACTGTAGCTGGGCGCCCCGCTGCCCCCTGCCCTGCAGCCGGGTGCAGCCCCAGGTTCCTGCCGCTGGCGGACTGCAGACTGCGGGCAGGAGTGCCGCGGGCTGAGGCCCCGACAGGCCCCGACGGGGTCAGGGCTCCTCCGCACTCTCTCCCCTCGCCCACGGGCTGGAACACCAGTGTGCCCGCGATCCAGCTCTAACCGGAGGGGACGGTGGAGCAAGAAGGGGAAAGGAACCTCAGGCCCCGAGGGACTGCGGGACTCTGAGCCACCCGGAGAAATACTTTCACGCTCGTATAGCTCCTGAAGCTGGGGCACTTTGTCCAGCAGCCGCTCCTGTACTCATACCCACTCCATCTCCGCTGCCAGCAGGAGGGAAGCCCTTGCTTTCCCACCGGCAGGTGCTGAGCCGGTCCCGTGCCAGCAACACACACTCAAACTGTCCGAATGCCTGAACATTTTATTTTCAAGTATAAAGGCTTTGTCGTAGAAGGGGGCCAGGGTCACAGGCAGTGGGAAGCGTCCGGAAGCCCGGGAGGAGGTGACATGCGGGCCAGCTGGCTCCCGGGGGCGCGCCGTGTGCCTGGGACCCGCCGCCGGACGCCGAGAGGCCGAGGTAGCTGTGAGAGGCGCTGGGTGCGGGGCGGAGGACGTGGGCTCACATGACCGCACAGCACTGGCACGTCTTTTGCTTTGGGCCACTTGCCTCTTCACCCTCAGCAGGGGCAGACGGCTTGGGCTGCCGGGCAGGGGCATAGGTGGGCACGGGCCGGGCACTGGGGTGGGCCCTGGGCCCTTGCACCCGAAGAAGTGGCTGGCACTCGGCAGGCTGCTCTGGGGTGGGGGTCTCCGCCAGGAGCGGGGTGGCATCCCCCGAGGGGCCCTGGCCCTCAGCAGGAGTTTGGGGTCGGACAGATCCCTCCTCCAGGGAGCCTTCCTGCTTCTCCTGGGGCTGGGGTTGTTCTTCTTCTGGCCTTGACTCTTCCTTGGCCCCCAGGGGAGCCCCTGCCTCACTCACCTCCTCTGCCTGACATTCCTCTCCTCCCCCAGACTCTCTCTGCTCTTCTGGACTCAGGTCTTCCTCGACTGCTTCGGTCTTCTCCGCCTCCAATGGTGCCTCACCTCCTCCTTCCTCGGCCTCCAGTGGCTCCTCACCTCCTGTTCTCTCTGCCTTCAGTGGCTCCTCACCTCCTCCTTTCTCAGCCCCCAGTGGCGCCTCACCTCCTTCCTCGGCCTCCAATGGCGCCTCACCAGTTCTCTCTACCTTCGGTGATCCCTTGCCTTCTTTTCTTTCCATCACTAAAGGTTCTTCGGTTGCCTTTAGCTTCTCGTCATCTCCTTTCTGCTGTACTCCCAATGGTTCCTCATCTTCCTTCTCCGCCTCTAGCTCTTCCTCACCTCCTTTCTGCTCTACTTGCAATGACTCCTCGCCTCTTTCCCTCTCTGCCCTCAAAGGTCCCTCAACTGCTTCCCTCTCTGTCCCCAGCTTTTCCTCACCCCCTGTCCGCTCTGGCTCCAAGGAGTCCTCGCTTCCTTTCCTCTCCACCATCAGAGACATGTCTGCTCCTTCCTGCTCTGTCCCTGCCTTTTCCTCACTCCGCTTCTTTACTCCGCCCACTGGTTCCTCTGCTTGGCTGCTCCCTGCCTCCCAGGCTTCCTCCCCTGCCCCCCTTTCCGCCCCCAGTGGACTCTCAGGTCCTGCCCCCTTTCCCCACACCCTTGGCCCTTCCAATCCCTCCACCACCAGCTCCTCCCACTCCTCGCTGAGGGTCACCCTCTCCACCCAAATGAAAGATCCCTCCTCTCCTCCAGAGCCCCCTGGCCCATCAGCATCAGGGCTGCCCCTGGGAATGCCACCTTCTCCAGGAGCTGCTCCCTCCGGCCTCACCTGAAGCCTCGGTGAGCCGGTCTGCGCAGCCTTCCGGCCCCCGCCGCCCGCCTCCCCTGTGGCCTCTGAGTCGCTGCTGTCTGGCCCTCCCACCCCCTCCCAGACCACCTCCACGGTGCTCCTGTCCTCTGTCACCCAGGAGGGGAGCTCTGGGCAGCTGGCTTCCTGCCTGTCGCCAACTGCCTCCAGCACCATCTCCTCTACCTTAGCCTCCAGCTCTGGGCCCGTGGCCCCGGTGACACAGTCCTCTGTGGCCCTCAGCCCCTCCCATACCACCTTCACCACACCCCCGTTGGCCTCATCCACGCCACCCTTGGATGCTGCCAGCCCCTGACAAGGCTCCTGCTCTGGAGCGGGGCTGGGTCCAGGGCAGGGGCCATTGGCTTCTGAGGAGGCCCCTGCTGCCCCAGGGAACAACTTCAGGGCTGGTGGAGCCCTGACAGCCTCATCTCTGGGCTCAGAGGGGGACTCTGGGGACGTGTCCACTGGTCCGGCTGGTAGGGAGGCTCTCTTGTTCAGATCAGCGTGGTCTTGGGGAGTGAGAGGAGACAGGGGGCAACAGAGTGAGATTCTGGCCCCCCAGATTCAGGCCCCTCTTCTTGGGACCCCCAGGCCTGAGCACAAACACCCACCTGTGGGACCTGCCTCCACCGTAGGCTGGGAGAGAGGTCGGTGACCCTGCAGGGAAGGCAGAGACAAGGTCAGGGCAGCCCGCGTCTCCACCTCCGGCCTCCCTGCATGCGGGTACCCTCCCCTGCTCAAACACCTTCAGTGTCCGCCCCACACGTCTCGCTCAGGACCAAACCCCGCCTTCCTCACCTGTCTTACCACCCTCTGCTCTAGTGCATCACCCACAGTAGGTGCTTAATCAGTACTGCGTCCATGAGCCATAGCTCTGTATTAGAGACCTACTCTGTCAGCTACTGAGGTTGCTGTGGGACAAGGGACGCTTACTTAAGCCTTTTGCTATGGGGACTTACATTCCAGGGGGGGTGAGGTATAAACATAAACACAAATAAACATGTAATGCCAGGGAGTGAGCAAGACTACGGCAGAAAAAATAAAAGCAGGAGGAGGGGCTCTCGAAGTGACACTGAACAGAGAGAGACCCGAAGGGTAGGAAGAGCTGGCCTTGAGTCAAGAGGTAGGTAAGGGCATTCCAGGCTGAGGGGAAAGCAAGTGCAAAAGCCCTGGGGCCGCAATGAGCTACACAAGTTCAAAGACTAGAAAAGAGGGTCAGCATAGCTGGAGTGGAGAGGGGGGCGGTGCGAGACTATGAAAATGGGCTCAGGGAGGGGAGCGGAGGGATGGCCAAGCTGCAGGGATCTCCTCCTCACAGTTCTCCGATCTTCTCCTCTTTCCAGCCTCCAGGCCTTTATGTGGGCTGTTTCCTCTGCCTGGAATTCCCTCTCCACTCTTGCCTGGCTCCCACTCAGATTCAATATAGATGGCTCTGCCTCCAAGAAGCCTACCCTGAGCCCACAACTTCACTCAGGTGATTCCTCTGTGCTCCTCCCCTGCCCAGGTCTCCCCCCATCACAGACTCTTGGACGGTGAGCTCCCGTGGGCCAGGAATCCTACCTTGCACCTCTCTGGCAAGAACTCCTGGCCTATGCTAAAAACCCAACAAGTGCTTCCCACATTGATGAACAGGTCTCTTCCTCCCTCTGTGCCTTGAAACGGGCACCTAGGAGCTAAGGTAACACATCAGGTGGGAAAGCTGCACCGCACTGTGGCCAGGCACAAATGTTGCCAGATCTTTGGACTTCAGGGACAACCCAGAGAGCCAGATTTTAATGTGAAGTTGTCGAAAGCCTGTGTGTTGTGTAGCATGCAGAATGTATCTTAATACAAGTGCTACTAAAACAAAAGCCTATGTGGATGCCCCAGATCACAAGAGCATCTCATGGTGACCCATTCCCCACTCTGAGGCCAAATTCCATGAGCACCCCCCCGCACACACATTTTCCCACCGTGTTCCTCACTCTGGCCATATTAGCAATCACATAGGAAAACTTCTCATGCCTCGGCCTGGTGCGAAGCTATGATCTTGTTAACTGCCCCCTCACCTCATCCAGCTGCGTACTGTTGCTATTCTCATTTTAGACATAGGGAAACAGGCTGGAGCAAGGCAAGTGACTTGACCAAGACCACAAAGCAAAGAAATAGCAGAGGACTCAGTGGTTAAACTGCACCTGGAGAAATCCTGCTTTTGTCCCTGCTGGCTGCCTCCCCCACCACCCATTTGCTCCCCTGGCCCCTCACCTGTCTGCGCCAGGTGGGCCTGCCTGAGGACTTGTGCTGGGCACCTGTGGATGCACCTTGCAACAGCTGCAGCTGGGACTGGAGTCTGAGGAAGAGAGGAGGCTGCTGGGAGCCAGGCCCCCAGGCTCAATGCTTCCCCCCACCCCCCCCACACACACCAATCCCCAATTTGCCACTTCCCTGGAGTGGGCCTGGGGACCTGGCCTAGGCAGGCTGGCAGGGGCCCAACTCACGTGAACAAGCTGTCTTCCAAGTTCTGGATTCGGGCCTGAGCCTGGCCCTCAGGTGACTGGGGGTCTTTCGAGGCAGACTCCTCCTGCCGCTCCGTCCCCTCAGCCGTCCCGTCCATTAGCCAACGCTCCCGGAGAGACTTCCTCTGGGCATGGGAAGGTAGCTCGGGCGGTGCACACTGACTACCCCACCCCATGTAGGGTCCCCTCCTAATCTCCTAGGCTGGGAAGATTTCTTATTGCCTAAAACCACCCGAATGGGACAGACATTTCTCCTTCAGGGTGGGATATGATACATGGCCTCACTGTGCACCCCCAATGTTGCCAGGTGGGACAGACACCCCATTACCAGCCCATAGCTCTTCCAGCCTAGAACAAAACACCCATCATCTTCCAGAATGGGACAGGCGCCGCCAGAGGCGAAAGCAACGTCTCTTTTGGCCCCTCCCTACCCCGAAGCTGGGCAAAGCAAACACCTTCACTGTCCCCATACTCTTCCTCCAAAGGTGGTACAAATGTCCCCATCACCACCACTACCTCCCCCCACTCTCCCAAGCAGAGGAAAAATGCCCCCGAAGCTGGAACCCATGCCCCCAATTGTTCCCCCAAATTGGACAGAGGCTCCTATGATTCCCCCCAAACCGACTCTCATAGACACCCCCACTTCATTGCCCGGGCTGGGCAGGCGCCCCTGCCCGCCCCCAACCTTGAGCCGCTCCACGCGGAGTTTCTCCTCCTCCAGCTCCCGGCGCGCGGCGCGGATCTCCTCCTGCAGCCGCCGCTTCTCCTGCGCACAGAGGACCGGGAGCTGCCCGCGGGCCGGGCGGGGCCGCCGCCTCCCTTTCCGCCTTCCCTCCTCCGCGGGGCTCGCGGGGGCTCCCGGGACTCCCGGGGCTGCGAGCCGGGCGGGGCGGCGGAGCGCACGTCGGGGCCCCGGGCGGGGAGGGGGCTGCGGAGGAGCTGACTCAGCAGCGGGTGGGGGCGGGGCGGCGGGGGCGGGGCCGGCCGCGCCCGGGATGCTGCGGAGGCCTAGTCCGCGCCGAATGGGGGTCTGTGGAAGGGGGTGGGGGCGGGGCCTTGGAATGGGGATCCCCAAGGGGGATACGGAGCTGTGGGGGTCCGAGATATAGGGTTACAGAGAGGGGGGTTCAGAGAAATGGGGGTCCAGGTATGGATATCAGAGGGAGGGGGCTAGTGAGATGGGGGGTCCGGAGAGGTGCAGTCGTGAGCGTCCAGAGAGACTGGGGCGTAGAGATGGGGTCCGGAGAGATGGAGGTGCAGAAATCGAGGGCTGAGAGATAGGAGTTAGTGAGATGGGGGTTCAGAGGGATGGGGTACAGATATAGGGATCAGAAGGATGGGGGTTCAGAGAGACCGGGGTGTAGAGATGGGGTCCAGAAAGATGGGGGTGCAGAAGCGGGAGATCAGGGACATAGGGATTAATGAGATGGGGCTCACAGGGATGGGATCCAGAGAGATGAGGATCCAGAGATGGGGGTCTGAGAAATGGGGTTCAGACATGGGGTGTTTGGGAGACAGGGGTTCAAGAATGGAGCATCGGATGCGGTTTCTGGGAGTGTGGAGTACACAGCCTCACCATTCTGAGGGTGGTGGTGACCGGATAGAAGAACTGGGGAGCAGAGGGACCTGAGGATTTAGGTGGGGCACTCAGGCAGGCCTGGAGCTGAGGGTGCCTTCCCCCTCCTCCCCCCACCACACACTTCACAGCGTTAGGCCTGCTTCCCGCATTGAGAGAGAGAGGTGAGGAAGAGACCTGGGGCAAGACTAGGGGTGCCCAGCACGCCGGGCGGAGCGCCCTGGGAGGGCTTCACTTACAGCGATGACCTCTAGCCGCTGCCGGTAGAGGGAGCTCTCGGCCATGGGCCTGTGGGGAGAAGGCAGACACTGCGGAGGGGGTCTCCCAGGGCCCCGCCCCGCATCAGGCCACCTCCTGAATGCTCTCCTGTCTGAGCCAAGATCCCTGAGCTGCTTGGAAACCAATCGAAGCCCAGCATTTTCCTCTATTTCCCCTTTGCAACTGAAAGGAGTTGGGGGAGAGCCCAGGGGTCCTTTGGGGGGGGGGGGAGCAGAGACCATGACAAGGTGAGCTAAAGCCCTTCCTAGGCCTCACATCACCTCTCTGAGCCTCAGTTTCCTTATCTGTAAAATGGGCTGGAATAGCTTGATCCTCGCCTTGCAGAGAGGTGCCCTTGCAAGGAAACGCCCATGCAGGAAAAAATAGGACATAGTGTTCCAAAAACAGTAGTGTCATTTATTATTAATAACTTTAGTAATTCCTATGATTAATAATGTTTCTAGTTAATTATAAGAACCATTCCCAGGCTGTGCTACAGGCACTCTCAAATCCTGCCAGGCCCCTAACATGCTGTGTGTCTCTTTCCAATTCCACACCCTCTCCGGACCTCGGCTCCTACCCAGGATACACCTTCAGCCCTGGGGGATGAGGGAGTCTGGGGAGAAAAGTGTCCATCCCACAGTGGACACATGCCATTGCATGTTACTGGAGCTACCTGCCAACTCCCCTCCCTGGGAGCAAAGGTTACCAGGTCACGTAGCCTAGCGTTGGACTCTTGAGCTGGGAGGAGGCAAAGGGGTCTTGCTGTTTAAGGTTTAACCTGAGATCCCCCCATCACTGACCTCCTTGCAGCACCCCAGGATCCCTACTTCCCAGCCCACAGAGCCACCCTTTCTGGGGGACGGGACAGTCATTGTCACATGAACCTATCATCACAGATGTGCATTGATCGCTCACTATGTGCACATGCTTCACAGGCCAATATCTAGAAGGATCTATCTATTTGCCTGTTGTCCCTGACATTCAGCCCAGGGAGGAGGGCACAGGGCAAGCCCTCAAACATTTATTAATTTGAGCACTAACTCTATTGCGTGAGCATTAGCCTCGTTGCTTAAACTCTGCTGGGGCCTCCCAGATCTTCCCTGGCCACACCATAAAGACATAATAATGCAATGCTTATTACCTATAGTGCTCAAAGTGCTCTAGAGGGTTTCCGCTAGGCTCCCACAGTCACCTCCGCCTCTCCCTCCCTGCCCTGATCTTGAGACACTGTAGTCCACTCTTTGCTGAGTTGATATTCTGAGAATAAAATCAGCCAACCACTATTAGCCAGTGTATACCATGTGCCAGGTGCTGTTAAATGCTATGTCTCCAGTAATTCATTTAATCCTCCCAATGATCCTGGGAGGCAATCGTACTACTGTCCCTATTTTATGGATGGGGAAACTGAGGCACCAAGAAGTAGTGGAAAGACTTGTCTAAGATCACTGAGTCAGGAGATCAGAACTCAGGGCTCTTAGGCCCCAAACACTGGGAACACTGCAGGGAAGAGGGGAGTCTAGCCACCCTCTTATGGCAGCCACGAGGCCAGAGATCAGCCTGGGAGTTCCGATTTCAGTTGGACTACGGGGTTGAAGTCATGCTTTGCAGGGTATCCCAAAGGGAACCCAGACCCCCTGCTAATAAGTTTGCCCTTGGGGGAGGGCTAAAGTCCCCACCCTCTGCTGTCCCATTCCCAAGATGTAATCTCCCTGCCACTTCCTTGCTGGGGGGGTGGGGTGGAGATCGGGTTCCCATTGCTAGGCAACCAGGTTTGTAGTTGGTGAATAATGCAACGGGGGACCCAAAAGAGTGAGCAACCAAATTGGGGTCCCCGGGGGGGGGGGAAACTCTTTTCCAGAACTCTTTACAAACCTCTGGAGCCTTTCCCCCTCTTACTTTAAAATGCCCTCAAAACTTGAATATTAAAATCCTCTGCACACCCCGTTTGATAGTGTTTATCTCCAGCTCTACAAGAACAGTGTTCGTGGCCGTGGCCTTTTGTCACCAGGAACACTTGGTGACCATTTCACTAAGCAGGTGATGGTTCCGATTTTGCCACCATCTTTCCCAGTTTGGGAGCTGTTAACTTTTTCTGTTGTATCTCAAGCGTTTCTTCCCACCCTGGACACTGAGGTGTGTTTCTAGAGGCAAAACATGGGAGTGAGGGACCCTGGCATTTCCTGCCCCCTCCCCAGTCATAGCCCCACCCCCAGGCTGGACTTTGAGCTTGAAGACTGCCTGCAGAAAATCCCTGAAAAAAGGAGGTGGGGGTGCACATCTCCCACCTGACTCTCTGGGGGAGGGGGACATGAAAAGCCCGTGGGGTTCGCTGCTGAGCTCTCTCCATTACCCCTAGTGCCCTTAGGAGAGGCCAAGCTGGGGCTCTCACCCCCCGGGGAAAGGCCAGCGACCTCCGAGCCCCTCCCAGGCCCTGCCCACCAACCCCCCTGATCCCGGACACTTACATGGGTGTGGCCGGAGACCACATCTGGCTCTGCAGGGCCATCTCTGCCCGGAAGCCCACCTTCAGGTCTCCAAGATCAGGACCCCACCACCCGTTTGCCTGAAGGTGCCCTGGAGGCTATGACTTGGCTGGTGGGAAGGGGGGGCTGCAGGAGGGCACTGGGAGAGCTGGTCCAGCTGGTTTGGGCCAGGAGGCAGGAGGCGCAAGCACGAGGCTCGAGGGGGGTTGGGGGCTGGCGGGCAGTTCTGGGGAGGTACTATCAGCTGTCCTGATAAATTATTTACCAGCCACTGGCCTCCTTGCCGCACTTGGCTGCCTCACCGCAAACACATTCACATGCATGGTGCAGTGTGTGGGTGAGAATGGGGAGTCACTGACCCCTCCAGAGAATGGCACCTGTCCTTGGCACCCCAGATGCCTCTCAAGTCCAGCTGCCCACCAAGGGTCACCAACGTGGCACATTACACGCGTGCGATACTCTTATAAACTACTGCCCTCCCTTCTTGACCCTGGCTGTCGGGTGGGGAGGGAAGCACTGATCCAACTAAGGGATTCTGGAGACCAGAGGCTGAGCACCACGGGAACCAGGAGGTCTGGTCCCTGGGTAACTGTGGATGACTTGCCCCAGGTTTCTAGGCCGTGGTTTGCCCTTTGTGAAATGGGAGAATTAGATCAAGTGGCCTCCAGGACCCCGACCCGCCTCAGATGCTATAAGAGTTAGGGGTGGGGCAGTGGTGAGGAAGGTCCAGAGAACTTCCTACCCAAATCTCGAGGGTCCCTGTTCTATCCTCCCCATCCTCTTCTTAAAGGGCCAGCATCCTGTTTCTCAGGTGACAGCATGCCTCATTTACCCTTTGCCATTTGGGGGAAATCATCTCTTACTTTCCAGGCTAGTCTCCCACAGCCCCCAGTCCTTCCCCCATCACAGTCCTGGTCCCGCTGTGCAATTTGACATGAACCTCAGTGAGAAGGGACCTTGCCCCTGCTAGGACCCTCCCCCTGTGACCAAGGGAACGTGCCTACCTAACTCCTCCCTCCCTCTTTTACATCTTACCTGGGGTACTCAGACCCCAGAATTCCCTGCCCAAATGGTCCTGTGCTCACCAATAAGGCCTAGGTGCTTCCTGAATGCCCACCATGCGGCCAGGGTGCGCCTCACCCCACTACCTCCAGCCTGACAAGTGGTCAAGGGCAGCTATTGACAGAGGGGTGAGGATCAAGCTTGGACATGCGGCACAGGGTCCCCAGGTGCAGGCACAAGGCTCCTTGCTATGCAGGAGAGAGTTGAAGGTGGGAAGTCAAGGGGGCCAGGCTGAGAGCTGAGGTCTCCCTGAGCCCCACATTCTAGTACAAGACTCCTAGGGATTCAAAATGTTTTCATTTGAACCCGGCCTTCTAAGTCATTCTGAAAGTACATTTGCCATGATAGGAGGAAAGAACATACTTTTTTTTTTTTTTTAAGATTTTATTTATTTATTTGACAGAGAGAGACACAGCGAGAGAGGGAACACAAGCAGGGGGAGTGGGAGAGGGAGAAGCAGGCTCCCCGCCGAGCAGGGAGCCCGATGCGGGGCTCGATCCCAGGACCCTGGGATCATGACCTGAGCCGAAGGCAGACACTTAACGACTGAGCCACCCAGGCGCCCCAGAACATACTTTTTAAATCAGTTTTTAATCGTAGTAAAATACATATAAAATTTACCATTAGTGGCATTTAGTACATTCATGGTGTTGTGCGGCCATCCCCTCTGTCTGGTACCGGAATATCTCCATCACCCCGAAAGGAGACCCCATGCCCATTCACAGTCTCTTCTGATTTCCTCTCCCCCAGCCGCTGGCAACCACCAGTCTGTCCCTGTAGATTTACCTACTCTGGACATTTCATATAAATGGAATCATATACTATGTGGCCTTTTGTATGTCTGATTTCTTTCACTCAGCACAAGGCTTTTTTTTTTTTTTAAGATTCATTTATTTGAGAGAAAGCGAGAGAGAGAGAGAGAGAGAGAGAGAGAGAGAGAGAGAGCATGAGCAGGAGGAGGGGCAGAGGCAGAGGGAGAAGCAGACTCCCCGCTGAGCAAAGGAGCCTGACACAGGGCTCAATCCCAGGACCCTGAGATCACGACCTTTGCTGAAGGCAGACACTCAACTGACTGAGGCACCCAGGCGCCCTAACTCAGCATAATGTTTTTAAGATCCATCCACAATGTAGTGTGTGTCAGTGTTTCATTCTTTTTATGGCTGAATAATATTCCTATTTTTTTTTTAAGATTTTATTTTTTTAGGTAATCTCCACACCCAACATGGGGATTTGAACTCACAACCCTGAGATCAAGAGTTGCATGCTCCACCAACTGAGCCAGCCAGGGCCCCTGAATAATATTCCATTGTATGGATTTACCACATTTTATTTATCTATTCATGTGTTGATTGACATTTGGGTTGTTTCTACCTTTTGGAGGAGAGGGTGTATTTTTTAAAAAGATCCATTTATTTATTTGAGAGAGAGAGCGCGCGCACACAAGGGGGAGGAGCAGAGGGAGAAGGAGAGAGAATCCCAAGCAGGCTCTGTGCTGAACACAGAGGCTGACGTGGGGCTCCATCTCACAACTCTGAAATCATGACCTGAGCCAAAATCAAGAGTTGAAGGCTCAACTGACTGCACCACCCAGGTGCCCTGAGAATGTATTTAATTGTTTGTATTTATTTTATTGAATTTAATTGTAACTTATTTAGTTTTACAACTGTTAAATATTTATTTATTTTCTTAAGATTTTATTTATTTATTTGAGAGAGAGAGAGAATGAGAGACAAAGAGCATGAGAGGGAAGAGGGTCAGAGGGAGAAGCAGACTTCCTGCTGAGCAGGGAGCCCGATGTGGGACTCGATCCCGGGACTCCAGGATCATGACCTGAGCCGAAGGCAGTCGCTTAACCAACTGAGCCACCCAGGCACCCCTACAACTGTTAAATATTTAGATGTATGGTATGTAGGCTTCCCTTTGTACTTTTGTCCTGTATTCTACTTCGAGGCAAGACTGTTCTATTTATAATTGTGTCTGTCTCCCAAACTCAACTGCACCTTCCAAGTCTGATTTGTTTCTTTATTCCCAGCACTGGGGTAGGTGCCTCGTACATATCATTAAATAATTCTTAAGTGACTGTTATATATCAGGCACTGTTCTAGGCATGGGGTAGTTGGGTCTACGTGTGACCAAACAGAAAATGCTGTAAGGCAGCTCACTTTTGGTGGTGGTGAGGAGAGAGATAATATACAAATAAAGGCAATTAGTGATAACTGCTCTAGAGGGCGAGTTACAGCCAATAGCAGGGTTAGGGTTATGGAGAAGGGCTATGTGTGATGCAGGCTGGGTGATCAGGGACTATTTGTCTAAAGAAGTGATGTTTGAGTTGAGAACTGCATAGCAGAAGCCAGCCATGTGATGAGTCCTTCCAAGCGGGGGGAAAAAGGCAAGTAAATGCAAAGGCCCTGAGGTAAGAGTGCACTTGGGGGGTTTGAGGGAAGCACAAAAGCTGGGATGGAGGAGTGAGAGGGGCAGTGTCAGAAGATGAGATCTGAGAAGCGGGCAGGACCTTCTGGGTCAGAGGAGGGAATTTGGATTTTTCTTCTTGAGTGTGGTGGGGAGCCATTGGAGGGACAGTGAAGTGGCTGGGATGAGGGTGGAGAGACGTGAACAAATTCAGAATATGTTTTGGGGGGGCAGAGCCTGCAGATCCAACAGCAATCCAACATATGGATGGACTGGAGCAGGGCTGAGAGAGAGGTTGAGGTAGATTCCCAGGTTTGGGGCATGAAAAACAGAATGGATAAGTTGCCACACATAGTGGGGAGTAGAGCTGGGGGGATCCGAGAGTTCAGTTTTGAAAGTGTTCAGTTTGACATCTATTACACTGAAGAGTGTTGAAGATAAGTCCAAAACCCAGAGGAGAAGTCAGAGGTAGCGATATAAATTTAAGAGACACCAGCACAAAGATGGCATTTAAAGTATGAGGTTGGGGGACACCTGGGTGGCTCAGTCGGTAAGCATCTGCCTTCGGCTAAGGTCATGATCCCCGAGTCCTGGGATCGAGTCCTGCGTGGGGATCCTCTCCCTGCTCAGCAAGGAGACTGCTTCTCCCTACTCAGGGAGAGTAGAAGGAGAGGGTGGGAAGGAGGGAAGTCACCAGGGTGGGCAGAGAACTGGGGGAAGGAGTGACCAGATAGTTGGATTATTCCGGAGGCTGTTTAGCGCTCCCCCTTTCTCTAGGTAACTATATCTTTCTTCCTGGTCACCCCAGAATAGTGGAGTGGGGCCAGAGGGCAGATTTGGAGAGAGCCTGGGGGAAGAGTGGAAATTGTCTTTTAGGGGCGTCGGTCCTGCCGTTGAACGCCACGGTCTGGCGCCAGCTATGGGGAGCTGCTCCATACCGCAAGCCTGGATACCTCTCCGGGGCCTTTCCAGCCGCCTGAGCCCAAGGTGACCGCCTCTCAACCGCAGCTGCTCCGCTAAGCCCTGGGCGCGCTGTGTCCGTCCCTCCCTCTTCCCTCAATCTGGAAGTGCACTTGGCCGCGGACGCCTCGCGGACTTTTCCGGGAGGGGTGAAGGGAAAGCAACCTCTGAGCTTAACGCGGGCAGTGGCACACCTCGCGGAAAAGGCCTCGCTGAGCCCAGAAACCCGGAGGGAGCCTGGGGCGCGCCAGGAGAGGGCTCCTGGCGCCCCCTCCAGTCTGAGCCGTACGCTGCAGGGGTGGAAAGGGGATGGCCAGCCCCGAGGCCAGGGGCGTTGCGGCCCGCCGGCCTGGGCGGGGCTAGCGAGGCCCCGGAAAGATGGCTTTGGAGGACACCAGCACCAGAGGGCCAGTGGTTCAAAGGCCCAGCCCGAGGCACAGTTGGGGTCAAGCCTCCTGGGAATGCCGGGGACGTAGGAACGAAAAGGTGCCAGGGTGGCGCCCCGAGAGTTGAACGGCACCCAGACTTGTCTCCCAGCTGGCGGGCCGAGTCCAGGGAAAACCTCTTACAAGAAGTCTGGTGCCCCGAGCTGACCTGAGGCGCGTCAGAGCACGAAATGCGGTGCCCTGCCGAGGCCCCCCCTCCCCTCCCCGCCCCGAGGGCGGTGCCAGGGCGGGGCCGTAGTCTTCCCTGCAGGTGCAGGGGGAGGTGCCCGGCCCTGCCCCGGGGGGCCGTTCTTGGAGGCCAGGGGCGGGTCAGAGAAACGGCCGAGGTAGGCGACGCCTTGGAACCCGCCGGCGGTGACTGTGCCACAGGTGCCGCGCAGGGCACCGTGGTCTCAGCTCTGGGCATCAAAACTCCGGCTCTGGAAACTAAGTCTTCCGAGCTGCTCTCAGCCCTGTACACCGAGGCCCCCGTGCCAGAGAGCGGAGCCCTGGGGTCGTCCGAAGAGCGGGGCCCCGAGACCCCCGGGTCAGCGAAGTCCCAGGGCCTGCCGCAGAGCAGGACGCTGAGGTCCCCAGGCCAGGAGGCAAGGTCTCCGTGCCCTCTGCAGAGCAGGGCGCGGAGACCCCTGAGCAAGAGAGCGAAGTCCTTGGGCCATCAGCGGGGCTAGACGCAGAACGCCCCGGGCCGTCTGCAGCTGGGGCTTTTGAGAGTCTCCGGCCCGGCAACCACGACCCCAAGCCGTCTTAAAGCGCGAAGCACGGGGTTCCTGAAGCAGTCTCCTCTTCAGGATCCCGAGACCTTCTCCTCGGGGTCAGATTCCGAAGGCCCCCTGTAGCATTTTCTACTGGGCCCGAAGACCCCCCCGGCAGGCCCCCGAGGAGCCCGTTCATGGAGACGCCCATCGAACGAGAAATCCGCCGCAGCTGCGAACGCGAGGAGAGCCTGCGCCGGAGCCGAGGCCTGAGCCCTGGCGGTGCAGGCCGAGAACTCGTCGAGCTGCGCGTGCGGTCTGTGCTCAGCCTGCCCAGCCCCGGCCCCGCGCTCCCGCGCGCCCTGGAGCGCGCGCGGGCGGGCGCGCAGATGCAGCGAGACATCGAGCGGGAGGCCCACCGTCAGGCGGCGCTGGCGCGCCCCGCAGCCCCAGAGCTGTGCGCCCGGCCGCCGCCGCCGCCGCCGCTGGGCGAGCTCAAGCGATTCTTTGAGGCCGCCGGGGGACGCGGCTCCTCGTCGGCGGCTGAAGGCGGCGCGGACCCGCAGGGGCTGCCCGATCCTGGAGGCCGGCCGCGCTTGGCCGTGCAGGGTCGGTGCCCGGTGCTGGCCCGCGCACCGCCGCGGGTCGCGCCGTCGCTGCTGGAGCAGGAGGTGCGCGAGGTGCGTGAGCGCGAGCGGGAGCTGCAGCGCCAGCGGCTCAGCGTCTATGGCACCGCCGAGTTCAAGGAGCCCGCGCCGAGCCTCACGGGTAAGCCACGCGCGCCCTGACGCTGGGTCTGTCAGGGCTCCAGCCGCCCTCACCGACTGCGCAACTCCAGTGGCCTCTCTTCTGGCCCTCAGGTACCCCCTCAGGGCTCCCAGACTCCTGGGACACCCCCCCAACTCTCTGTACCCTGCCCACCGCTTCAGGGCTGCCCACTCCCTGTGCTCCACCCCGAACTCGGAATGGTCGACTCCCAAATCCACCTCACCTAGGCTCTTGGTGAGAAAGGGAGGAGGATTCTAGGTGTCTTTATCGGATTCCAGGGAACCCTGCTTGGGTTCTGGCACTCCTGGATCCTCCCTCTGAATTTACGAGTTTCCATCTCCCCACTCTGGGTTCGCCTCCCTCCTCCTTCAGGTTGCTCCCTCCTTCAGAATGGAGGCTTCGATGGGAAGCAGGGTAAACGCCTGTGTGTTTAAGGGGCGCGGCTGGCCTCCCTGGTCCTGGCCGCCTCCAGCTGGTGACAGGAGGGGCAACCCCGGCTGAGCACCCCTTCCCCCGCAGCGAGCAGGGGCGACGGAAAGCTGGCGGTGACCTGGCCTCCCCGCAGAAAGGCGTCTGAGAGCGGCTTGGAGCAGGTGGGAGCCCCTTTCCCCCTCTTGCCTCAAGCGCTAGTCGCTCGTCCCTCCCCCCCTCCTCCTCGGGCGCCAGGGTGCTGCGCCAGGGAACGTGCACCCCCGCGTCCCCTGGGAAGTCACTCTGGGCTAGGACACAAAGTTCTGGGCACGGCCCGGGGGTGACAAGGATGCGGTAGTCCCGGGGCCCAAACCGCCCCACCCTGTGCCTGGGTGTGGCTCCTGCGGTGCGCGGGTCCTTAAAGTCAGCCTTCCGTCTGGCCTCCTCTCCCCAGGAGGAGCGGAAGCCTTGAGGTTCCAGCAGGCTGGGACCCCCTGCCAGAGGTAAAATGCATATCAGAGGAAACTGGTAGGGGTGCCCAGGAGTGCTCTCGGAATCCACTGAAGGCCTGGAAGAGGGCCAGCCGTCTGCGCTGGGGAAGATGAAATCGACCAGCTCCTCCTTGAACCTGACTGTGAAATTGACCAGTCTCTTCTATAAAACTGTTAGTCCCCACTGGGAAACACTACCACTCTCAAACCGCCAGTGAAACTGTTCCGCCCTTCTCCTAACTGCAAACCCAACTGGCCTCTCCCTCTGGCCTTTGCGATTAGAGGGCCAGGGTCTCCGCCTCGGCTACCCTCACTCCCCAATAAAGCCCCTTCTTTCTGGGCAGTTCGGGCTGTTTTCCTCTGGGTCCCTTCGTCTGGGCTGGGGCGGGAGCGCGCCTGGCGGAGGAAGGCCTGAGAAAGCTGCAGGAGGCGCGGGCCGGAATACAGAACGTACCCCTTAGCGCCCTGTTCTGGGGCTGCTGGTCTCTCCTGGCCCGGCCCGGGTCTTGGTGCCCCCTGGCGGCGCGGGCGCGAACTGCGGCGTTCGGACAAATGAGCTCACGCCCTTCCTTTTTCCAGACATCGTCAACATTTTATTGGTGCCAACTGCATGCCCGGAGCTGGGCGCTGGCTAGACGGAGGTGATAAGAGGTTGTTCCTGCCCTGGGGACGTAAACAATAGCTACCAAAAAAGGGGTGGTGGTGGTGAAGGGTACAAGCTTCTTAGCAGGGCATACAAGGCCATTTATAATCTGTCCAGCTATTGCAAACTTCACATGCCTTATCGACCCCAGACAGATATTAAAGAGAGAAATGGGGTGTGCTTTAAAATGCCTTGTTTCAACGGGCAGGTAAGTGTTCCTCCATATCAGCAGTACTACCAATGAGTGAACTCAGTGGCACCAGAGCTTCTGATTTCCAAAAGCACGGGGGGGGGGGGGGTGAGGGGGAACCCAGCCTTTAAAAGAGAAATCTAGGGGACCGCGGGGGGTTCAGACAGTTAAGCGTCTTAGGTTCAGGTTATGATCTGCGGTCTGGGGATCGAGCCCCGTGTCTGCCTTCCCACTAGACATGGGAGTCTTCATCTCCCCCTGCCCCTCCCCCTGCACACACTCTCTCTCAAATAAAATCTTTAAAAAAAATAAAAGAGAAACCTACTGAACTTTAAACGTGACTTTTGGAGCGCCTGGGTGGCTCAGTCTGTTAAGTGTCTGCCTTCGGCTCAGGTCATGATCCCAGGGTCCTGGGATGGAGCCCCACATTGGGCTCCCTGCTCAGCAGGGAGCCTGCTTGTGTTCTCTCTCTCAAATAAATAAAATATTTTAAAAATGTGACTATTTAGAAAACTTTTTAAATTGGGGGTGGGGCACAGGAGGTGCAACAAGCAGCACCTGTTTGCAATAAAGCTTGTAGCTGTCAATTGTCAAGCCCGCCTTAATTTCTCTCCCAAGCCGAGGTTCAAGAGCCCCTTTCATGGGGTTCAAGAGAGTCAGTGAACACCCTAAGTTGAATAAGTGTATCTATGCAGTTTTATTCTGTGGTTTTTAGGGTACCAGCTTCTTGGGGCACTGAGACCCAGAAAAGACCCAGGAATGTTTTAGAATCATTGTTTCAACGCTTGGATTTGTCCAACTCTTTATGCCCTGGGTCTAGCAACAGGCTTGATTCTCCATAGGGAGGACAAGTAGCTAATGAAGAATGAAATAATGCTCACACAGCATTGGACCCCAAGAGAAGCTCAGTCCAAAAACGAACCACCTGATCCCGGCATCAGCACACTGAGCGCATACTTGATGGTGACTGCAGAGAAAGCAAAGATCCAGCACTGTCAAGGTGGGAAATGGAAACAGCCAGAGCTGATTCTTAATTCCCAGCAGGGGAGCTTAGAACTAAGCCTGTAGAGTTGACAGAACTACTAAAGTGTGGACCTGGGTTCTCAACCTTTCCTGCAAATTAAAATCACCTGAGGCACCCTTATGTTGAGTAAATCAGAATCTGACGGGGAGCTTGGCCTCAGTATTTTTTTAAAGCTCTACAGGTGCTTCCCACATGGAGCTAAGTTTGAGATCCATCATGTAGGTAGATGTATGCTAGCAGTTCTCACAGTGTAGTGCTTGGACCAGCAGCCCAAGGATGGCTTGGGAACTCCTCACAAATGCATTCTTGGGCCCCATCCCAGACTAAAAATCAGACCCTCCACATGATTCCATGCTAAAGTTGGAGAATCATGGTTATCGAGAGTTCACAAGCAACAGGATTCAGGAAATCAAGCCTGTTTCCTTCCTCTCCCAGTACTGCCACCATGCACCAGAAACCTTTGTTGTTTTTATTTTTAAAAAATATTTTATTTATTTGACAGAGACACAGCGAGAGAGGGAACACAAGCAGGGGGAGTGGGAGAGGGAGAAGGCGGCTTCCCGCAGAGCAGGGAGCCAGATGAGGGGCTGGATACCAGGACCCTGGGATCATGACTTGAGCTAAAGGCAGATGCTTAATGACTGAGCCACCCAGGCGCCCCCAGAAACCTTTAGTTTTAAGTGGCCTGTGGATTTGCCTTGAGACTGTCTAAAGCTGTGTGGCTGGTCTGAACTGAGATGTGCTGTAAGTATGAAAGACATCAGATTTCAAAGACTACCCAAAAAGAACTATCTCAATAATTTCTTGCATTGATTATATGTTGAAATAATATTTTTGCTATGTTGGGTTAAATAAAAGTCACTGGGGCGCCTGGGTGGCTCAGATGGTTAAGCATCTGAGCCTTCTGCTCAGGTCGTGATCCCAGGGTCCTGGGATTGAGCCCCACATCGGGCTCCTGGCTCAGCGGGGAGCCTGCTTCTCCTCCTTCTGCCTCTCTCCCTGCTCATGCTCTCTGTATCTCTGTGTCTCAAATGAATAAATAAAAATCTTAAAAAAAAAATCACTAAAATTAACCTGATCTTATTTTTTACCTTACCTTTTTTAATGTGGTTACTAGGATGTTTGAAATTACGTATGTGACTTGCATTTGTGGCTCAATTTAAACGTTTGGACCAAGCGAAAGAGTCTTAACAGTGTGTGTCTGTGCGCGCGTGTATAACTCACAGGGACTAACTTAAAACCGTACTGGGTAGCTTCAGAATCCCCTTGAACTCATTCAGACTAAACAATCTTGATGAAGTCAGAAATTGTACCCCCCCCCCCCCCGCCGCCGCCCCCCAAAAGATCAAGGGTTTTGGTGTCCAATCCGGATGATTCATTTTACCTCTCACGTCCGTTTTTGTCATCTTAAACTGGGGCTTAGAATACTAATGTGCCAGGGAGTTTTAGGTAAGTTAGTGCTTTGCTCAAAAACGTAAAGGGTAGGTCTCTCTGACTCCAAAAATGCTACAAGGAACGAAAAGGCATGCCTTAAAGAGGGTAACTCGCGGATGAGTGACTGCCGGGTCAGGAAGAACACCCTTCCTCACGCAAGGGACCAGCTGCAATCGGAAAGACCGGTTCAGGTTCGAGCTCCGCCACTTGCTCGCTGTAGCTTTGAATAGGTGAGTTTACCTCTCTCAACCCGGGTCTCCTTTCCAGTCCAAGGTCGGAGTTAAGGTTAGAGATCCCAAGCTGGAGTTCCTTACGGCTTTCCCACCCGGCGCGCCCCGGACACCCTGCGTAGTAACACGACCTACCCACTCCATGACCCAAAAGCTGGAAGAGGAAGATTTGACTCCGGCCTTTAGGAAACTGACCCCTGGCCCTTTCTGGGGGCACGTCGGGAAATATAGTCTTTTCGGTAAAAAGAAGTCACTTCCGGGTCAAAATACGAGAGTGGGCGTGGCTCCGGGGGTCCCTTCCCCCATTGGGCGTTGAATTTCCCGGCTACCCAAAACTTGCGGTTTTTTGGGTTCCGGTTGTTGACAGGCACTGCTACTTCCCTTTTAGCTTCATGTGCGCCTCTGCGCATGCCTTGAGCGCTTGTCCACCAGCCGAGGGACTTTGGTTTTTGTTTCAAAGACTACATTTCCCAGAAGGCCGCGCGAGTGGGCGGGGCTCCCTCGCCCCACGGGGTGGGGCGCGGCACTGCGAGCGGACGCTGAGCCGGTGACCTCTTTCTTTCTTTTATTTAACGCAAAACTGGTGTGTCCACGCGAAGGGCTCCGCGGCCGGGCCGGACCCGGTGCGGACTGGCTAGCTCGGCCTGGCCCCTTGGAAGGCGAGGCCGAGGTGCACTGGGAGAACGAGTGAGCCCCTCCCCTGCTCCCTCTCCTGGAGTTCGGAACTGTCAAGCTCCAGCTCCCACCCTCTCTCCAGGCTCAAGACCCCTGCGCGGCCCACGCCGCGGGCCCGGCAGTGCTCGGGGGCCGGGCTGGGCCTGCCTGGCCCGTGAGGATCTGCACCAGCAGGTCGGTGGCCAGCATGTGCGAGGGCTCCTCAAAGCCGATGGTCAGCAGCTGCTGGTAGTCCCCAGGCGGCTGTGGGCACAAAATCCTGGGGGCCGGGACAGATAGGCCTGGACGTGAGCGCCCCCTGCTTCTCGGGAGCCCCTCCCCTCGAGTGAGAGGCTGTGGCTGAAAGAGGCTTTGTTTCAGCTGGGGGTGGGAAAAACCCTGGGGGTAAAGTGGTTTCCTTGTTGATGAGAAACCTAGAGGCTTCGGGAGGCTGAACAGCTCTAGCCCTGACCTGGCCCATCAGCCAGCTAGCTGTGTGTCCTTGGGCTGGTAACTTAACCTCTCTGAGCACCTGTTTTCTTCTTTGTAAAATGGGGCTTAAAGTATAGACCTCAATGGGTTGTTACACAAGTCTGCATAAAGCACTTTTCAGGGTACAATAAAATGCTATCCTTATTACCAAGGGAAACAATGTTGGGGGAGGTGGATGGTCTTTGGTGGGGTTCTGCCCTTCCCTCCAAGCCCCAAACCCACTTTGCCATCGCCCTAACTCCTACCATGAATAGAGGTCATCCTCGGCAGGTCCTAGCGGCACCCATCGTCCAATGGACCACAGCTTTTGGATCTGGGGGCACGAATTGGCCGGACTCTTGCCTGTGTCTTCCCATGTATCTCGATAGCACAGGAAGTAGCTGGGAGGGGAGGGAGAGGGGTTGTCAGTTAAGAATGAGCAGTTTCCTAGCTTCTTCTTTTGAGGGCTTTGATTTTGGGGGTGAGGGAGAACTCCTCAGAATTTGCCCTCGAATTCTCACGTAGGGATGTGGCTCAACACCGAGGCCTTTTCTCCCTGTCAGCTTACGTTTGAGATGAGGACTTTTAATGGGAGGGTGAAAAAAAATTTTTTTTTTTTTTTTTTTTAAAGGTGGGGATGGCCTTTTCAAAGATCTTTGGTTTCCTGCTTGGCTTTCCATGCTTTGGTGGTGGTGGTGGTTCAGAGGCCCACACTGGCATTCTGCAGAGAGAGGGAAGAACTCTGGTTCTATAAGGAGACTCACTAATCCACATGGGAATCTTGCCCCCTGCTGCTGGGCTCTGGGGTGGTTTCCAGGTTCCAACGCATCTTCTTGTAGAGGTATCGGGGGAAGCGGCTGGCGGTGTAGGCGGCTGGGGCGCAGTATCTGAAGATGGACACCTCATGAAAAGGGCTGATGGAGAACCTCCCGCAGAAGAAACAGGAGATACTGGCGGAGATGGGAGAGTGGGGAATGAGGCTGGGCTCTGGACTCCACCTTCTCCCCACCCCCATTCCAGTCTCCTACCCTTTTACCTTAGGGGGTCAGTCTCCTCCAGGTCCACGAACCCGAAGGAGGCATACATGAGGACCAGCTGTTCCAGGCGCAGGGTCAGCTGTTGGGAGATCTCCAACAGCTGCATGGAAGAAGGGGCATAATGAGATTAGTTGGCCTGCCGGGATCGCCGTCCCCCCCATCATCTCCCACTCCTGAGGGGTGAAGAAAGGGGCATAGGGTCTAGGAAACCTGCTCCACACACCCCCTTTCGGACCAGCTCCTGCAGGGCTCCATAGATGGGGGGCACACTCCGTGCAGCTGCCTCCAGGTAGAGAAAGTAGGGCTCACACATCTGTAAGAAGGTGGGCATGGCCTTTGCCATCTGTCCCTTCTGCACTCGGTCCCTGCTAAAGGGAAAAGGGGGCCTTTACCTGGGGTCCCTCACTCCCCGTTTCCCATTCTACTCACTGCTGACTTGGACCTCTGGCCTGGAGCCCCTATTAAACCCCCCCCCCCGCCCCCGTGCCAGGCCTTTCTCAGTATCTTCCAGGACCATTTGCATCAGAACCATTGGGAACACTTGTTAAGATGCTGACACCTGAGTTCTACAACTGACTTTCACTCAAAATTTCCTGTAGGGTGGAGCCCAGAAATCTAGGGTTTAAACAGCCTCCCCGAGGATTCCAATGGATACTGAAGTGTGACAATTCCAGTCCCTTTCCCCCTGGGCTGGGCATCACACTATCCTTTGGTGGTGGTGGTGGGGGGGGTTCTCCTCACACTGGTAGCCGGTTGGGCCAAATCTGGCCCAGATTGGTTTTGTTTAGCCTGCCCAGGGTTCAAAATGTAAGCCAACAGTTAAAAAGTGGGAGAAAAGTCCTCGTGAATTGGCAACCCCCCGGGCGGCAAATAATAGCAGGCGCTCCCTAACCCCAAATTTCTACACGGTTCTTATCACTCTTCGAAATGGGATCCCCAATCAACTAGCTTCATTTACTGTCTCTGGCTCCTGATGCTTTTGAGTTTGGGAACCTAGCATGTGTTGCCTATCCTATTACTCTCTCCTCAGTCTCATTCTCGGGACCTAGGACCCCGTCCAGCATCACCTGTAAAGCAAGTAGCTCTGGAAATCATCTGCCTTCTTGAGCAGGTAGCGGAGCTGTTCGGTGATGGGGCTGAACATGGTGTCCAAGGGTAAGCAAGGAGGGGCGGGCCCTGGGCTCGGGGCCAGAGGCTCGGGGTAAGGAGTAGCGGTAGAGGCCTCCGGCAGCTGCCCCTGGACGTCCTCCGGTTCTGCCTCCGGTGGATCCCCAGGCCCGCCAGGGGACGCCGACCAGGAGGGGTCTCCGCAGGGCTGCGCCCCAGGTTCCAAGTCGTCCGGGGGCGGTGTTTCCCCCGGGCCCGGGGGGAGCGGCTCCACGAACCACTGCTCGGTAGCCATCGTGGGGTCGCAGGCGAGGACCGCAGCTCTTTAAGCCTCCGCCGCTCACGTTGGCCGCGGGTTCGACCCCGCCCCGGGGAACCTCGGACTTGCGGGGACTGGGAATGCGGCCCCCCTCCAACTCGCCCCTGCCTCGACCTCTCCGCCGGCGCGGCGCCGCACGGAAGGAGTTCGCCTCGTTTGAATTTCAACACGCGGGAGGGGCGCGCCTCTCCGGTCCGCGCTGCGCGCCCACGGGGCCCCGCGCACATGCGCGCTCCCGGAACCTGGCTTGGGGGGCGCGTCCGAGAGAAGCGACCTGGGCCCGTGCTGGCGCGGCCCTGTCCTGGGGTGCGGCCCGGGGGCCAGTGCCTTTCTCCTAGGCGGTTTCCTAGGGAAGAGGGGTCTTTACCGAGCCTCCAAACCCGGGGCGCGGGTACATAAAGGGAGGACGCCCAGGCCTCGTGGAGTCTGACTCTGGCCCCAAAACCTGTATATATATATTTTTAGAACGCTAATGGAGTTGGGAAACTGCATTAGAACTTAGTAGGGACTTGTGATGTCAGTAGCTGTTTCAACTGATAACAATACTGAAAATCTTCACTTGGAAAAACGTGCCGGTCCCATGATCTCATCCCTTCTGTTCCTTTTATTGGCGAGGACCAGGAGGCCTGAAGACCCTACCGTGCGTCCAGAACAGACCCCTGACCCCCAATCGTTATAGACTAGATTCTTGGTGGCATGCCAAGGCTGACAGACATCCAGCTAGGAAGCCAAATACATTAATTACACTTAAAAAGACTCTGGGTAAAGAACTCAGACAGGTGTCTGACCCCACCCTGTGTGACCCTGAGCAAGCATCTTTGCTGTGCTGAGCCAGTTGCCTCTTGCAGAAAGTGGTGTTTTATGAGCTCTCTGCCTATGGGGCTGCAGAGAGAACGACCGAGAAAATGCTCATAAAGCCTAGTTAGCTGCTGGGCACTCAACAAATATTTGAGCACCTACTGTGTGCCTGGGCACTGTTCTGAGCATCGGGAGATGATCCAACTAAGCAAATATTCCTGCTCTCCTGAAGCACTTCCTGTCCCAGCTGGCTGTCAGGCAGCCCCATGCACTACCTGTCCTCCTCAAACAATTTTGTCTTAACCCTAGACTCTCCCGGGAGGCCGATAGCTCTTCAAGCCCCTCCCCCCATTCCATTCATAAAATTGAACTCCTGGACATTTTTTTTTTTAAAACTTTATTTAAAAAACCTTCGGTGCAATATTAAAAAGCAATACAGCCAGCTGGAGCAACAACCAACAGAAAGAAAGGAGAGGGTTAGGGAAGACCCAGAGACCCCACCCCAGCTGTTCCCAGGAGCAGACAGGAATGGGGCATGGGTGGTGGGGGAGAGAGGAAAGGCCACCCACCAGAATGAACAGGCAGAACAAAACATTTATATAGGAAACATCTGGCTGAACTGAAGAAGATCTAGGGGAGATAGGAAGCCCCCGTTTTTGTTTTTTGCTTTTTTGTTTTTTCAAAAATGTCCTAGACTTGGGGGGAGGGCTGGCCTCCTGGGGTGAAATGAGCAGGCCCTGTCCCACCCCACACTCCTCTGTCATGGAGTACAGGATGTGCTGGGGGCCAAATGTGTTTATGCTGGGGAAACTCAGGGAAGAGATGAGTAGGGAGGAATACCCCTCACTGGAATCTGTTAGGAGGGCTGAGAGCATCCCCATCCAGCTCCTGGACTCTGGGGGTCTTGGGTGAGATGGGGGCTGGAATGGGCTGGGGCAGAGGGGAGGCTGGGCGCTCAGCCTAGAAAGCCATCGGGGTCGTCATCCTCAAAGTGGCCTTGCTGCAGCACCTTGATGTGGTGCTCGTAGATTTTCAGGGCTGGGCCCAGGCGGATGGACAGGCCAGTCAGCACATCTGTGCGCTGCATGAGCAGCAAAGACTTGCCATCGATTTCCTGGGTGGGACAGAGAGAGCAAGCGAGCAGGGTCAGAGCAGAACCCCACTGAGGCCCCGGCACAGAGGGGTACACCGAGGGCTAGGAACTCGCCTGCTCTTGGAAAGCTGTTGCCTGCTCCGGGAAGCCGGCCTCGGTGAAGTACTCAACCACATCCATCACCGTCCACTCCACAGGGTCAGCCGGCTTCTCTTTGCGCCCAGAACTGTGTCACAACAGAGGGAACCAGTGAGCAGCAATACTCCTCTGACTCTGTTACACACACACACACAACACACAGGCAACACCCCCATGTCTCAAAAACCCCAACTTACGGACAGCCAAAGGGGGTTCCATCAGCCCCTGGTAGGGCTGGTTTTCCTGGGGGCAAAGGCACAGGGGATGGGGAGTCTGGCCCAGTGGCAGCAGAGGCTGGGAAAGAAAACACGTATGCCTGTGGCTTTGTCTTGGGGCTCAGTTCCTCCCCACCAGGCAACACCCCCCCAACTCAGAGAGATCCTTACCTGATCCCCCTTCCTTATTCATGGCTGCCATGGAGAACACTTGGCGAGTACCACTGCCTGGTGCCGGCCCCCGGCTTTCATCCTGGCCCTGGTGGGGTCCACAGGGTGTCCACTCCTTGACCCTCTCCTTGGCACTCTGAGGGCCTCGCTCGCCATTAAGCTGGTGGTGCTGGGCACCTGCTGGACGGTCACCCTCAGGCACCTCCGAGCCCTCAGACACATCGTCTTCATCATCTTCCTCTTCGTCATCTTCTTCCTCCTCTTCCTTCTCAAGCACTCGCTCTTCTCCACCTCTCTGGTGCCGGGGAGAGAGGCAGGGGAGGTTAGTAGCTGTTCTGGCCCTGGGCCCAGTCCCTCGGATCCAAGAACGAGTGGTGTGCTTAACACCCACCTTTAATACCAACACGGACTAACTTTTACACATTCAGTCCGTGCCAGGCTCTGTGTTAACAGAGCCCTCGGTAGCCAAATCTCACTAAACTCGCTCAACAACCTCAAGGGGTCGCTACTGCTATTAAGTCCCGTTTTACAAGCGGAGGAAACTGAGGCTCGGCAAGATTAAGTCACTTGCCAAGGTCACCAGGCGCCGAACCGGCAGGAAAGACGCGAAAAGCCAGGGCCGCCCGCCACCCGGTTCCTCCCGGGACTCGCGCCCCGCCACCAACTTCGCCCGCACCTGCCTACCGCGCGGCACCCCCCCGCCCTTCCCCGGCGCGCTCACCTTGCTCCGCGACGCGCGGGCGCTGGCGGCCGGCGGCGCCCGTCCGGGCCTGTCCCCGCGGGGCAGCGCGAGCGCTCCGAGGCGGGTGCGCTCCAGGCGGCCCCGCGCTGCCGCCTCTTCCTCCAGCAGCCCCTGCACGCGGCCGCGGGTCAGGCGGCCGCCGGCGCCGCCGCTGCCCCCGAGGTAGCGCACGACTTCCCGCAGGCTCACGGGCCG